TTGTGTATGTGTGGTCATCAAACATTCTCAAGTACCTTTTAGTTAAGACATTCAGCTGAAATAATAGTGAAAAGCGGGATGAGAACTTACCATCAACAGTCAAAGTGACAGAGATGGAGGAGCGTCCAGCTCTGTTCTGGGCCACCACAGTCCACTCTCCAGAGTCATGTGGCATGGCTGGGACAATGATCAGGGACTGAGTACCATCCTCTTTGACAACAATCTTATGCATGTGGTCACTAACCACTTGTTGTCCTGAGAAGGTGAGAGTATGTGCTGATTTCAGTAACAAAGGTTCATCATTAAAACACATCTGATGATTTCTTCAGCTTGACTCACCATTGTGAAACCAATAAGTTTCCGGCATCGGTCTGCCTACAACTTTTAAGTCAAATCTGGCAGTTTGTCCCTCAGAGCATTTACATGAGGTAGGTTTCATGATAAACACAGGTTTGTAAAGTCTTTCCAGCTGAGCCTCATCAGTCTCATCGAGGCGGCGGGCGGGAGAGCGTCCAGGTGAACGGCTGGGTGACCGGCCTGGAGAGCGGCTCAGAGAACGAGGAGATGTAGACCTGAGGAGATAACAGTTATCATCAGTTATGGTAAAATGGTAAATGGCTTGAACCTATGTTATGCTTTATCAAGTCCCTATGAACTCCACAGTGCTTTACATTTCAGTGCATTACTTTCCGGTGGCGCCGATGCATGGCAGCCCCACCTCTGTCAGTGTGCCCCAGGGCAGCTGTGGCTACAGTGTAGTTTGCCATCATCAGTGTGTGAATGTGAGTGTGAATGGGTGAATGTCTGTTAGTGTAAAGCGCTTTGGGGTCCGGAGGGACTTGAAAAGCGCTCTATAAGTTCAGTACCATTTACCATTTACCATTTACATTTCAGTCATTCACCCATTGATGGCAGTAAGCTACATTGTAGCCACAACTACTCTGGGGCACATGGACAGTGGACCCTCTGACCATCACCAATAGGCAAGTTGGGTAAAATGTCTTTCCAAAGGACACAATGACTGAGACAGATGGAACAGGGGAATGAACCGGCAACCCATCGGTTACAGGACGACTCCCCTAACCATTCTGCCACAGCTGCCCATCTTAAATTAAGCTCAGTTTTTCTCCCTCTCCAGTTCATAAGCCTCCATCAGTAAGAACCAATGCCTTCTCTGACTCATGGCTCAAGAATTATTCCAATAGACCTTAAAGTTTTTATACAGCAGATCTGTCCATCCAGTTTCTTCCTCTTATCCAGGGTCAGGTCTCGGGGGCAGCAGCCTAAGCAGAGAGACCCAGACTTCCCTCTCTCCAGACACTTGGACCAGCTCCTCTGGGGGAAYCCCAAGGCGTTCCCAGACCAGCTGAGAAACATAGTCCCTCCAGYGTGTCCTGGGTCTTCCTCTGGGTCTCCTCCCAGTGGGACGTGTCCAGAACACCTCACCAGGGAGGAGTCCAGGAGGCATCCTAACCAGATGAACAACCTCAACTGGCTCCTCTGGACGTGGAGGAGCAGCGGCTCTACTCTGAGTCCCTCCTGGATGACTGAGCTTCTCAGCCTATCTCTAAGGGAGAGCCCAGACACCCTGCAGAGGAAACTCATTTCAGCTGCTTGTATCTGTGATCTCCTTCTTTCAGTCACTACCCAAAGCTCCTGACCATAGATGAGGGTAGGAACGTAGACCCACTGGTAAACTGAGAGCTTCACCTTCTGGTTCAGCTCTCTCTTCACCACGACAGACCGGTACAACACCCACATCACTGCAGACACAGCACCAATCCACCTGTTGATCTCCTGCTCCATTCTTCCCTCATTCATGAACAAGACCCTGAGATACTTAAACTCCTCCACTTGAGACAGGACCTCCTCCCTGACCTGGAGAAGGCACGCTACTGTTTTCCAGCTCAAGACCATGGTCTGGGATTTGGAGGCACTGATCCTCATCCCATCTGTGAACTGCTCCAGTGAGAGCTGGAGATCAGGATCTGATGAAGCCAATAGGACCACATCATCCACAAAAAGCAGAGATGTGATCCTAAGGTCACCAAAAAGGATCCCCTCAACACCTCGGCTGCTCCTAGAAATTCTGTCCAKAAAAGTTATGAACAGAATCAGTGACAAAGGACAACCTTGATGGAGTCCAACTCTCACTGGAAACAAGCCTGGCTTACTACCTTCAATGTGGATCAAGCTCTGGCACCAGTCCTACAGGGACCTAACAGCCCGTATAAACAGGCCTGGTACCCCATACTCCCAGAGTACCCCCCACAGRAGTCCCTAAGGGACACGGTCGAACATCTTCTCCAAGTCCACAAAACACATGTAGACTGGTTGAACTCCCATGAACCCTCCAGGACCCTGCTGATGGGGTAGAACTGGTCCACTGTTCCAGGTGGATGTTATAGCGGATGATTGTTAGAACTAAACCTTTCTGCATATTCCTTATTCTGACAGGCAGAAATTTGACACCTGCTGCTCTCTGCCTCCAAATGACATCACAATCCAGCCCTCTGATAGGCTAAGCCTGTTACTGGGCAGAATGGCCTCTTGACCGTCAGACAGAAAGAGGAGGTTTGTGCAGTTCAACATGGCACCCAGATAGCTCAGATGTTTTGAGACATACAAAGCTGAAATATGATGGGTTGGTAGCTGAGAGCTAATCAAACACATTTAAAATGCTAATCACAAGTTTAGGCTAACTACTAATGCTAAGTTTGCTATATTTCCAGTTGTTTTAAGACTTACAAAGCTGAAAAGTGGTATGGTAGTAGCTGAGAACAAGGTTTGACAAATTCTGAAAGCTAAATAAAAACTCTTGACGGCTGCCAGAGCTCATTGGAAACTGCAATAACTTGGCCTTTTAAAGACACACTGAGCTAAAGTTTTGTCTGGTGGTAGATGAACAATCCTCATCAAATTCTGAATACAAATCAAAAATCAAAAATGGCCACAATAGCTAAACTGAAAAGTTTCATAACTCTGATATTTTAGCCACATTAAGGTGAAATTTGTACGGTGGTCAATAACTGATCTTAAATAAACAGTAGCTAAAGTCAAATAGTAAATTTAAAATGGACACCATGAAGCAGGCCCTTTCATCCAGGAATAATTCTAGCTTTTACTATCATTTTTCCACACTAACARTGTCACACTGAAAAGAATCTGCATTTGACTCACAGCCTCAGTCACTGTGTGTCTGTGACATCCAACAGGCTACTGGGTAAATCTGATATTCTCACAAAACAGATTTAAAGAAATTTAAATATTAAAGTCATGAAATTATTTCATTGAGCTTATTTGCAGTTCTAAACCTATTTAATGTTTTTAYTCACTGGTTTTCTCTTCAGTGTTGTTGTACACCAATCCTACAGCCCAAATCACAATTACTGTCAGAAGTCCAAATATGCAACTTAGGTGATGACATCTTTTATAGCTTTTAGGACAGCTAATGGCAACTTTTCTTATTAACCGCTTGGCATTAAAGGTCAGGAGTTTTGTTTGAAGGAAGCCTCACCTGATCCTCTGCACTGCAGGCTGTGGCGTGTATCTCTGAGGAGCAGCTCCAGTCGACTCCACGTAGAGCTTCCCTGAGCTCACAGCGTTTCCTTTCATGTTGGTGGAGAATGCGGTGTACACACCTTCATCCTCTGGTCGAACTGTGGGCAAACGAAGGCTGGCCCTTCCATCCTGAAGCACCTCCATGTGGTAGTGGTCACCTGGTCTGATGCGTTGGCCGTCTTTAAACCAAGCAATCTGCCAGATGGAGAAATGTTAGCAAAGTTATTTTGAATTGAGCTGCATCATTCTGAAGTCTGCAGAGCTACTTTCATCAGTATTTTTAAAAATGGCTAAAGAAAACCATTTCCAAATGATTCATTACCTTTGGGAGTGGCGTTCCAGACATCTTGCAGTGGAAAGTGACGCTCATTCCCTCCATAATTCGATAATTTTTAACAGGGGTGTCAAAGRCGGGCTGCACTGCCTCAGTGGAGGTAGCAGTCACCATCAACTCTCCATCCTCTGTCACAAKCTCTCTGTAGGTGATCTTCATAATGTTGAGCTCTATCTCCTGAATGATCCTCTGCTCCATGGCAGACAAATGGAATTCCTGCAGATGCAATCAAATATGACAGGAGGTTTAAAACCTGCTTTCTAACAGCCAGTAATGCAAAATGTTGCTCATACCTGTCCAGAAATAATGGTTGTGGTCATCTGCTCCTTCACAGTAACTGTGATGGGGGGAATGTCTCCCACTTTGGGTTCCTCTACCAGAGCTGTCACTTCAGTCTTAAAGGTTGCTTCTTGTTTCTTTATGTAGACTTCATATTCCTCTGCAGGAAAACACAAGAGTTGAAGATTCGCCTAGGTTCCCTCTCTGTTCTGTTATCTTCATTTTTTGACCTTTTGTGAATTTAGCATGATGTTTTTCAGGTAGTGTTTGTTGGTATACCTTCTTCCATGAGGCTGGTGGAGGCTGAGATTTCTCCCAGCTGATTCTTGGCAAAGATGGAGTATTCTCCAGCATCGTCAGAGAAGGTCATGGAGATCTCCAGCCTACACTCCCCAGTCTCCTTCTTGTAGGCCACTTTATATCTGATGAAYAGTGGTGATGAAGTCATGTCAGAGGAGTCTTACCACTTCAGCATAAAAACACCTAACCTTTAAACTTTGGTGAAGATGATGGGCTGGGCTGAGTGGAGGGAGTCTAAAGATGGCTTTCAGTGTAAACTGAGAATGAAGCTGGATTAGTTGTTAAAATCAGCTTTATACTCTGTGTTTGAACCTACATGTAAATGTACAGTACGTTTTGGACCGTGTGAAGCTTTCAATTTCACAGAAAATGTTTCCAGCTGAATGYTGTTTATGTGCTAGGGCAGTAGAAGATTAATAATAAAATAATAAAGCTGTTTAACATTGTATTAAAAACAAGAAACCATGACTTGAGGCTTTTAGGAATTAAACCTAAAGTCTTTGAGTACCTGTATCCGGTGGTGAGCGGCACACCGTTCTTCTTCCAGATGATGTGAGGTTTGGGGTTTCCTCCGACCTGACACTCAAACAAAACACTTCCCCCCTCCACCAGCTTCTGAACGCTCGGCTCCTTTATGAAGAAGGGAGCGGAAGCAGGACTGTCTGGCTCAATGATCTCTTCTTTGGGTTCCTCAGGAACTCTAGAATTTGAAGTCATCACAGTTTCAGTATGTATCTTCAGTGACATGAAGAACGTATTTGTAAAAAGACTGAATGGACTCACAGTTTGTGAGCAGCCTCTACGTGTTCAGAGACTGCCATCTCCTGCCTGCCCTCGATGTCTTCAGACACTGAAGGAAACAAGTTAGTTCAAACAGAAAAGTGAATGTCTTCCTGTGTTTTCATGAAACCTGTACAAACACTGAGGGACATCATGTGTCACATTATTTAGTCTTTGTCATATCAAACTAGTTACATTTACACAACAAATGAGCAGCTTTAACTTACTTTCTGCTTGAATTGGGTTTGTTGGCTTGGTTGGTTAACAGTACATTACAGCTGATCCAACCTTTTTACCAACACTAGGTCTGAATGGAACTTGTTGCTTAAATTGTACATTACTCATTAGTATAACCAAATGATTTGAATCTATGTTGAAAATTCACGTTTTGCACCATTGGATCTTAAAARGGTTCTAAAAGCCCTGTCACACTACAGTGTTTTAGACAACTTGTGAAATTTTTAAAGAAATCTACGTTGAAGATGGAATTTTCAAAAATCAACTGGAATCCTCTTTTAGGGTTGAACATATTGTAATGCTAACAACCTGATCAGATATATAGCTTTTCTGAGTCATTTAGACATTAAAATGTTTTGCATTTCGAAGCTCTACTTAGAACCTCCATACGATCCAACAGTACCAAATGTGAATTCTTCATTTTTCAGCTGGTCTTCAAACTGTGATCAGGACTGTATAAGCATGGTTTGTCTTGAGTTTTCTGTATGTACCCTGGACAAGCAGGTAGCAGGAGGTGCTGATGGTTCCCGCCTCATTGGTGGCGGTGCAGGTGAAGCGGCCGCTGTCTTCAGCAAACGCCTCGCGGATCATTAATCGGGCATATCCACTCTGGTAGCTGATCTGGAAATCAATGGAGCTCTCGATCTTGTAGTCCTCTCTGAACCACATGATGGCAGGAGCAGGCTGACCACTGATCTGACACTCCAGGGTTACCGACTCACCCTCAGTCACATTCGTATTCTTCAAGCCCTGCACCAACAAAGTACACCAACTTTAGAAAATGTGTCTTTCCAAGAGAAGCTTTAATATGATCAAAGGTTTGAGCAGAACTGAAGCACTTACAGAGACCAGGGTGGGTGGGACCACAGCACCACCTGCAACAGGGATGGCTACTGCCTCCTCCACCTGCCACATAGTAACACATCTGTCAGACCGCTGACAACCAATCATGTGTCCCAAAATCACGAAACATGGAAACTATGTAGCAACAAATGGAGGATTTGAAATACGCTGAAGATGAACACATGATGAAGAGATGAGAGAACACAGAAACACAGAGGCTAGATGGATTCAAGAGGTTAGGAGGATGTTTTCAGCACTTCTGACAAGTTGGTTAAAGATTTTATAACAGAAACTTTTAATCCTGGATTTTCACAGAAATCAAGAAAACCAGACTTCAACTAACCCAGATGACAGAACCTGAGTGGTGATGAAAATAACAACACAATCAGTTCGTTTGACATTAGTTTGTTTTGTTGTTTGTGAACTGAAAACACAGTAGAGCTCAAATTAAAAAGTGAAATCTGTGTGGAATAAAGGAAGATATCTGAGCTGGTGTCTGAATGAACCTGCGGATTAGAGGGGCCATCAAAGGTCATCAAAGGTCAAGTGAGTTTTAGTTGCTCATATATCAGGTTCTAATGTTGGACAAAGTCTAGTGTCTCTTTAAATATCAGGTTTTCTTGTCCTGTTCAGATCCAGTTCACCCAGCTTTAAGGGAACAAACCTTTAATCCCCAGACCTCATGTATTCTGTCCTGGCCCCCCATGTACACTGCCCCCGCCTGTATCTGGGACTCATAGTGATATTTCTCAGTGAGTTCTTTGAACGGTGGAGCCATAGGCTCTGGAGTCTCTCTGGTCTTGGACACTTTCTGAGCGGGACTCGGGGACTTGACGGGCTTGATGATCTTTCTAGCAGAGGATGAAGAGAACTCCTTTTGTAGRGTGGCCATGGCCGAACCAGCAATGGAAACCTGATCAACCCAAAAAGGAAGAAGAGCCACACCATCGTCAGGACAGCATGCTCAGGTGGTTTTATCTGCACAGTCTGTGTTCACACAGCAGGTGGAGGATCTATGAGGCGTTAGTTTGATTAAAACTACAGCAGGTTCAAATGAAGTGAACTTTARATAAAGCAGGATTAACAAYGGGCAGTAGATGAAGGGTATTCATGGATTATTGAATAAGATTATGAGCATGGACAAGGTTAAATGGTTTGATTGGGTCAATGATATTTCAACACTTTATTCAACAAATTGGCACTTCAGGCAAGCAGTAATAACCAAACATGTGTCTGCAGACCTGCTCACAGTGACACCACTAGCTGCACTGTTCAATAGGCTTTGGATCAAGGGTTTTTGGGCATACTTTAGACTGTCTCAGATGGAGACGCTAATGGACAGGAGACATTTTTTACCGAGTCCAAATCAGTTTCAAAGAAAGGACTGAGCTGCAGCAGGGACTCGGTTCTTGATTTGTAGGTAGATGTTGAACCAATAAGACGTCATGGAAGCAGGGAGAATTTGAAATGTTGGTGTGTCGAGTACTGAACTGTTAATGACACGACTAAATCAAACACAACTTTCTTCAGAGAAATCATTTGGAATAGATGAAAGCTTTGAGAAAATACCAGAKCAAACTATTTAACCAATAAAACAGCAACTGTTTTCTACCAATGAAGCTGTCCGCCAACAGATGTGACTTATATCTGACTGCTGTCACATCCAAATACTTCTTTAGACCACAGAACTAAATCATTACCTCCAACACCAGACATTCTATGACCGTTATTTATCCAGGCACATTGAGATCTCAGATCTCTTTCAAAGGAGGCCTGTGCCTGAAGGAAACCTATTGTACATGTTTTTAGTAGTGGGGGAAACCGGAGTACCCGGAGAAAACCCACGCAAGCACGAGGAGAACATGCAAACTCCACGCAAAGACCCCAGGTCCGTCCTGGGGATCGAACCCAGGACGTTCTTGCTGTGAGGCGTCAGTGCTAACCACTGATCCATCRTGCTGCCTTTTGGGCAAAAAGACAAAAATGAAAGCAGAAACCTGCTGGAAGGCTGAAACAGTTGTTTCACAAATAACCCTGAACTTGGACTTGGGACTAATTTGGTGGAACCCTCTTGGGTTTGGATAGATAGGACCTACAACATGTCAGTTACTGGTGAAAATCAAACACAGGTTGTTTTCTGCTGCTTGCCTGATGCTGCCGGTCTTACCTCCCCACCAGACTCTGGTTTTGGAACAGAAACTTTAGAAACTGTGAAATGTGGAACTGGACACAAGGTGGGACCAGTTTCTGTCGCACTCTGAATCTGCAGTAACCAACAGAGTTTAAAGAATCATTAGCATCCCAACAAGCTTTGTAGTACTGGAATAAAATGTAACTTTTATAAATCATTCTGTTTTAAAGCATCTGCCTAATTTTCAAATGTTTTTATTATTTTCTGAGTCACAGTCTTTGAGCACTGGCAAGTAATTTGGTCATGAGTTTTTTTAATGGACTCCATCCCATCAGAAGTAATAAAAGACGAACTGTTAGACTTATATTTTACAGATGAAGCTGATTCATCTGAAAAGTWTGGAGTTCCAAGCTTTCAGCTGTATGAGACGCTCCACCTGCACATGAAGCTCCCTCCCCTCCCTCCTTAGGGTCAGTAGGGTCCAGCGGGGATATTTGGGTCACATGCATGCAGGTATGAATTAGAGGGAACCTGACTGGGTATCAGGCTCAGAGGTTTAAAAATGCTAAAATCTGACAGGCCCTCTGTTTWAAGGTGGTCTTTGTTTAAAAAAATGTTATTTATGTCAAATTACTAAAATTATAAAGCCTTTGTCAGATTTTTTAAAAAACAAAGACCCTTTATGTTTCACACTCTAACCTGCCATCCAGACAATAAAACTGGAATATTTCAGTTTAGTGTTTCAYTGATAGTGGAACGGTTTAAAGGGACTAAATTATTTGCCAGCAGTGCCCTAAAAAAGCAGTGTGTTTCTGTAATCAGCTGGAGTCTGACCTGAGGCTGCAGGTCAGCTGTGAACTCCTGAGCAGAACTGAGCATTTGACCCGCCTGCATCCTCGATGAAGTCCAGCCAGTTTGAGACTGATGGTCAGAGGCCTGCTGTTTAAACTCCGCCTCTACAGCCTCTACTTCCTGCTTCTCAGCTCCACCGCCCTCAACATGCACCGGCCCACGGGTACGAGCCAGGTCAACAGCAGCCACCACTTTGGCCACTGCCCCAGCTCTCATCCCTCCCTCCGCCTGGAGACAGAACCAGCAGCACACGGAGAACTCAGAACATCCAGAACAGGAGGGTGGAAACAAAGATCAGCAGGTAGAAATAAACAGGTCATCATGGGGCTCAGCTTCAGCCCAGCCAACATCTGTTAGAAGAAACAAGACGTTGTCCTGGAATGTGCTTAGCTTAGCTTAGCTTAGCATAGGAGAAAAACAACAGAAAACAGTTTGGACTTTAGCCAGAACCAGTTTAGGCTTAGACAGTTTCAATACAAAGAACTGGTCAGAACCAAGATGGATCGTTTTCACATGAAAACTTCTCTTTTCTTGGAAACCTGTTGAAAACCTTCAGAAAGTTTAATGCTTTTAGTTTTATTTTAGTTTTAAATTATAATTATAATGTGCTCTAAATATCCAGGCAGGTGTAGTTTTGGACAGATCCGACTCATTCACTGACCCTGTCTGAAGTCTTTATGATAGGTTAGACCACTCATGTTCAGGGTCTGTGTTTAAAACAAAACAATCAGAGTTTCACCCCTGGAATCCAGCCTGTCTCTGTCAAACACAAACACTATGAAACGACCACGTGCAAGGATACTCTGTGTGTGTGTGTGTGTGTGTGTTCACGAGGCTGTAAAATCTCCTGAAACCCATAAAGAATAAGAGTCTGATGAAAGTGTACAAGTGAACCAAAAAGAGGTGTGGATAAAATGTCCAGAAAGATGATGCAGGAAGTGGAAGACTACATCCTGATCCAGGTTTTGTTGGTGTTGGACCAACATCTGAACAAAGATTCAGCTTCAGCAACGCTACAGTCTTGATTCTAAATGGTTTTAGAATCGTTGGTAGAATTGTGACATGTTTGTTGTCTAGTTGAAGTAGACAATATGTTTGTGTTAAAYCAAGTTTGAATCATCTGGTGCCTCATCAGATTCTGAGTCCAAAATCAGATTCTAATAAAAAGAAAACAAAGACTGATGAGACAAAGAGTCACACAAACCCAGTGACAAAGTGACGTTAACAAAAATTATGAACACACACACACACACACACACACACACACACACACACACACAAAAATGTTTTACAGGCATCATAAATTACTGCATTCTGTGATGAAAGATTTTGTTTGTTTTCACAAAGAAATGTATTTAAACCTCCTGATGATGTGTCTTTGATTAAAAATGAGACACAACTTACTCGTACAAACTGGAAAATACTTTAGTCTTTGGTTGGTTTGATGTTATCATAAAACTCACTTTGCAAACCTCAAAGTTTAGTATGTACTGTACTTCCATTAAAAGACAAACACAGTTTGAGACTRGACAAAGATCCAGGCTGACACCAAAACTTGGACAAAAAGGACGAAATAAAGACCATCAAAGTTCGAAACAAAGTTTGGAGTAAAAGACGATTCAAAGATGATAAAGGTTGAATGTGAAACCATCTAAACATGGTTAGCTCCTCCCTCTAACAGACTATCCAAACCCCAAACACTTTGACTCTATAACCTCCTGGCTGGAGGTCTTTGTGTCTCGTTGGTTTTTATCTGCTTAAATAAAGGTATCAATCTAACAAATAAGCTTCTATGATACAAAAAATATAAAAACAGTTTTTTGAATTAGTTGATCTGACTCCAGCKGTCCTGACTTTATTCCACACAGTAAACATGAGCCCACTGCCCCACACGGACCTGGTGTCCAGCCCTCACCTCTCTGGACACTGAAATTAGCTGATCCCCTCTTCTGCTGATGTCACCTCCCTGCTTCCATGGTGGGGGGACCTCAGCAGTGGGGTCAGGCTGCTTGCGTGTAGTGATGGGGGACTTGACCGGCCTGATGAGGGAGATGGAGAGGGTTAATCCAAGTGTTCTGGCTCTAGCTAATGATTACTGCCTATCAGTCAATGCAAAGAACCAGAGGCCCCACCCACCTGACAGGTGTGGGTGTGGGCGCCTTCACGTGTCTGACAGGTGACGGTGACTGCTGGCGTCCTCCGGTCACCCTGGAGACCAGCGAGGGCTGGGTGGGGGACTTGGATGAGGGTTTAGGTGGAACTTTGGGAGGGGTCTTGTGACCCAAAGCTCGAGTCATTTCCACACCTTCCATCTGCATCTCCATCATGGCAGTGGTGGCCTGAAAACTGGCTTCCATCCTCTGAGGAGAGAAACAACAAGGTCACATTACCAGAAATAAATTATAGATGAACAAAATGGACTTTTAAGATGAGTGGAGATCAGACAGATGTAGAATAATAATAAAGAGTTTGGTAGGAGTTTGACATGATGGGAGTAAAGCTACCACCTTTTGTAAGCAGAATTAAAATGTTAGAATCAGAGTTTTAGTTCTCAGCTGACATACCTTTTCCACTCTGGTCTGTCTGGTCTGTGAAATCTGAGCGGTTGAAAYCACTGTCTTGGTTTTCTTGGCTGGAACAGCCTCTTCACCTGGACATACAGGTTTAGTTWAGTGACAGATCAAATCAAGCCATCTGTTACAAACCGGTGCTCACCTTGAACCAGCAGCTCGGCGGTGGACGTGGCCCGTCCGCTGCTGTTGGTGGCAGTCACAGAATACGTCCCAGAATCCTCTGGGAAGGCCTCTGCGATCAGTAGACTGTACAGGTCTCCGTCCTGCAGGATCCTGAAGTCAGCAGAGCTCTGGATCTCGGCTCCCTCCCTGTAGAACTTCACTACAGGTGAGGGGATCCCTGAGACCCTGACGCTCAGCCTCACCTGGCTGCCCTGCCTCACTGTGGAGCTCTGCAGCCTCTGGAGGAAGGTGGGGGGCGCCGTCTCCGCTGCAGGGGGAAAAAGGTAAAAAAAAACAACAAAGGTTTTGGTCTGAATCACAAGGGCCTAATCTTGGTCCCTGTGTCCTGTGGTGTGCCACAGGACCTGTGGTAGCTGTGGTACACCACAGGACAGGAATGTGTCCTGTGGTGTACCACAGGGCCCTAAACTTGGTTCTTGTGTGTTGTGGTGTACCACATCTGTACTTTSTTATATTTTTTTCACAGACATGCATTACTAAGACAAGATTTGTAATTTATACAAACACAGTCTCACCTGTCCCCGGTCTCACCTGTCCCTGGTCTTGCCTGTTTCCAGTCTCACCTGTCCCTCCCCCTAACCCTCACCTGTCCCCAGTCTCACCTGTCCCTGTTTCACCTGTCCCCAGTCTCACCTGTCCCTCCCCCTAACCCTCACCTGTCCCCAGTCTCACCTGTCCCTGTTTCACCTGTCCCCAGTCTCACCTGTCCCTCCCCCTAACCCTCACCTGTCCCCAGTCTCACCTGTCCCTGTTTCACCTGTCCCCAGTCTCACCTGTCCCTCCCCCTAACCCTCACCTGTCCCCAGTCTCACCTGTCCCTGTTTCACCTG